AAGTTCTAACCAATGACTAGCACCTAGCACATAGTGTGGTGCAAAAGTCCCCAGACAGCTTCACAGCGGCGGCCAGTAATAAAATCTACAGTCTCATTGCAGCGCCATTATGCGCCAATATGGCACCAAATTGGCGCGTAATGGCGCCAAATGGCGCCAGCGCCAAAAATAAATGTTGGATTCGTAATCAGGACCTCAATTAACCCCCATATGCAAGTTTTCATCAACTTTGGTGAAAAAAGTGGTGGGCGCCAAATTGGCGCATAATGGCGCCAAATGACGCCAGCGCTCGAAACGGATGTGATATTCGTGATCAGCGCATCGAATTACACCTATAGGCAACGTTTCAGCGAAAAATTTTTTGAGTTTTTGGGGTAGGAATAGTTCAATAGTGCCGATGTGCTTAATGACGAAGAAAGGGAGATAGCACTTCGCGGAAGCATTTCTAAACTCTCACGCACTACTGAACCAATATGTCCGTCCCAGAAGTTCTATGACTACATGCAGGTACTACTGGTACTCTACACTCGTGTATTCCACCTCGAATGAAGGCGCGCTGGACAAGCACGACGCTCGGCCTATGGACGAGTTCACTACGCGCTCTTCGCTTGCTGACGCAAACGTATCAGTTCTGTTGTGTCTGACGCTAAGGGAGCAATGGTAACCTTCATGTCATAACCCTTCTAAGCCTATCTCACGTATGCCCCAAGAATGCATTTTACCGCTAACATGTAAGGCAGGGTTTCTATACCAACACTGCCCTGGCCGTAGAATTCACAGCAGATTGATGAATCGACCCAAGCCTGAACGTATACAAAGGACAGGTCGTCGCCATGCCAAATTTGTTGACGCAAATTATCAGTATTTACTATAATTCTACTGGGTGCAGGGCGGAGGTGGGGTAGTGGCAAGTGACACTTCAGTTCATGCACGTTCGAGATCAAATCTCCTATCGGCTCCCGAGCAGGCCAACCAACCCTTCTACGCTTCGGCGACAGTAAAGCGAGACCAGATTCGTCTGGGAGGGTAAAAACACTGAAACACAAAACATAGTTAGTTAGAGTGGCAGGTGTCGCAAGATTTTTCTTTGTTCAAAATGTTGCAATTAGCTTGAAAGGAACACTTGTATATCGGCTAGCCCCGCAGGCCATTTTCGGGCCACATCGCATTCAGCAAGAAACTGCCACTCTGAACGGGAGTACAATGCGTGTAGCATCTCCAAAAAGGGATTGTTTAGTGTTGAAAACTTTTTATCTATTATCACCGTGTGTTACTGATGGGTATTCTGAAGAAGCTTCTTCTATGACTGCCTTTTGTTTTCTTAAGGAGAGCGCGTACCACTCTGCTGATAGCTAGAATAATGTTCACATGCCTGACCTCTTGCCGCTGCCCGGTATCTGTTCGCCTGAAGAGTCTAACGCTTATGTGGCGATAGAGAATCGCGGTCGCTGAGAATACCTACGGCCAGATGTTCGCCACTCCTCGAGATGTTGCCCAGGAGGAGCGAGAGTGCAAGGTCATCGAAGCGCGTTCCTGAGCGTGACGGCGCTCGTTCACAGCTCCCGAGCGCGATACTGAAGGACTACTGCGAGATTACATTAGAATACGCTTGTCGCAAGCACGACAACTTGCCGGCGTTTGATTGGCACTGTAATCCGATAAGGGCTCGGCTTTCTGCTTCCCAACAGAAGGCGAAAGCAAAGTCGCCATCAATCGCGATACCCTCGCTTCGTTTCCTGATTTGTAAACGGATAATGCTACACCAGTGATTGGTATTCGAAGTTTGCATACTACCTGTGGCCGCCATGCACTCGAAATATGAATGACAAACAATTTTTTACGCCACTGATGAAATTCACCCCAGAACTTCCACTCTGCATAAAAGTCTAAAGACGCCGCGAATGAATGCATCAATTACGGTAGTGACAAGAAACCAAAAGATCTCACCTGTCCATACTGATGACTGGTTGCACTAGCGACTTGTACAGGAAGAGGACGTTGTTGCGCGCGCTGAACTATTTGTAGTCAGGCAGCTTCCCATGAAACTTAAGAATGAACGGTATTACCTGTTGCTCCTGAGCAGCAGTAGCCTGTCCGTGAGCTCTGGCTTGAGAAATCAATTGGTCTAAAACAGCAGGTGAGGGAGACGCTGGTGCCGAGTCCGTAGATGATGGTGTACCGCAGCCACCTACCAAACGAGCATATAGAAGGTTGAAAGTAGTGCCGCCTTGTGTGCTGCAGATGATGGGGCTTTCCAGGGAGCTGGGTGATGTGGCGCCAGCAGGTTCACTAATTTTGGAAGCAAGCAGGTGACCACAATTAGTGGAAAATTGGCTGACGCCACGCTAAACCCCGCTCCACTAACCACCACAGCGTCCGCAGTGAACAAAACTATACTCAAAATCCCTGAGATCGGGTAGGCGTGGCTGCGTACTTGATTTTAAAATGGCGGCGGCCCAGGTTTTCGTGAGATATTGTCATTTTGGAGCAGTCGTAATCATGTCTACATCTACACAGAACAAGATAGCAGTTGTTTCAAATTGAAGTATCCCACGAGAAACCCGTCCTATGCCATGCTCAAAAGCCACGCCTACTCCCTCTCAGGGATAAGGAGTGTATATGTCATCAGCGCCACTGCCCACAGCTGCGCTACATTTTGCACCCATCTAACCATGAGAGTTATGGACCCCATAACATGGATGAGGAGCAGCAAATGCAGGAACAATTTCTAATCATGAAATAATTCTCCACTTCTTCTAGTTGGTATATGAAATGAACGTCAAAATGGGAAACATGCTAACCCGATTGCTTCTTATGTGACTGTTCTACATGGTTCGATAATCCTGCCGTAGTTTTATAACGTTTTGAACACTGTTGGCATTTATATGGTCTGGACCTAAACCAAGTGTTTAAATAAGCAAAGAAAATTGAAGCAGAAAAAAAATACGAATTTACGTTATAGTACTTCTTTAATTCAAAATACGCATACATGCTCTTTCCTCTGACGACTGCACGTTGCCTTTTGTGCTCAATCATTTCCGAGACCGTGCTCGCTCGTATCCTTTATCTAGCGCTCTGCTCTATCTCTCTACCCACAAGATAGAAAAGTACATATACTTTTCTGCGTAGCGCATCCCAAATAGGCTCGACCATCATGATCAAGTCTATTTGGGATGCGGCACGCATGGTACTTCCATTCATGATCAGGGCACAGCATTGGTTGGGGATTCCCTATGGGGGGGGGTCGTATTTGGCCGCCAAAAGGGGGGTCGTATTTGGGCTGGGAAAAATTTATTTTTATAGTTGATTTTTCTCGCTTTGCGGACGTTTTAAAGGGGGTATTTGGTCGTTGTTGGGAGGGGGGTCGTATTTCTGGCTAGGAGTTACGTGGTTCACTTCATGGGTTTTATGAATTTTCTGAATTT